AAAAATCAACCAACACCAACACAAAAATAAAGTCACTTAATGTTTGACATCGATAGACTCCATGTTTCCGTGGTCCGATTGTAGGAGCATGCATATTTACGTGTTCGTCTCGGCGAGGAAAAGGTTTATATCTAGGTTGAAACATTAACAGAGTTGCCAGCTGTTAAAAAAATTTAGTTCTATTAAGTTAAATGCATTGCTGCATTATGGGAATCAATGTAAATGGCAGGGAATTAGATAATTCAAATATGTATCACAGTATAGGTAAAAAATTTAATAAAACTACACATTTGTTCTTCTTCAATGCTGGTCGTCTTGCCGTGGCGAAGGGGCTTAAATGACGACATGGAAATTCCCCAAAGGGAGCTTCCAGATCGTGAAGAACTAAGAGGAAAGCTTCATATCCTTTGCAATCGTGAGGGAAGCTAACAAACCAAAATGGTATGTGAGCAAACTTTCCGGTTGGAGCCGCACCAGCAACACCCTAAGCCAAGGTGTTGAGGTACCCGTGCCGATGTCTGAATGGTCAGCGGGTGTATATTGAATAGCCGGCCGCGAACGATCCCCTCCGATGCCCGGGCAAGGTCGGAGGTATAAGTGCCTTCTCTACGTATGCCGGCTCTGCGGACGAGTGACGAACCTTTTCCGTGCATACTCGGGGGGGCCAAATATGAATGACAATAAACAAAAACAACAAACTGAAACCGAAAGAAAACTGATGACGAACACTGCAACGAACACTGGACAATCGACTTTGGCACTTCCCTATCGGATCCCGGGCCCCGTTGTTACGGAGTCCGATGAGGACACCCTTCTTGCCTCCATCAAGTGTTCTTGGTTGTACCAACCATAGTACACCAGAAGCACAAGCAGCAAATCATACCACATCTAACGATGCCAAGCCAGGCATCCCTACCAGCCACGACCTTCCGTCTTCCTCCAAAGCTGCCGGCAGTACCAACCACAGTACAACGACGGCGGGAACAGGGCGGAAAAAGAAACATAAAAAGTCCCAGAACCAAATCAGAAAGAGACGCTACCAGAGGGCGGTCTACATGCTAGATAAAATATCTAGCAATTTGGCTCCAAGCGGCTCCTATCAGTTGAAGGCGGTCGAATACTATAAAAAGGTGGTTGAGGAATATGAGAGCTCCTTAAAAGAGAAGCAATCTGCAAACCCCAATCCACCTGAAATAAAGCAAAAGAGCGAATGTCAAAAGATAAATCCTTCCACTAACGACAGCACTACCGGCAGAGAGAGCAAGAAGCCTAAACAGGCTTCTTCATCTGACCACAACCCGCTGCAACGCCACTTTAGTGACGTTGCCAAAGACAGTCTGTTGATGGCCATAGTCGACGAAAACTCGAAGACTCCGGTATCTATGCAGAAGCACTGGGTGGAGATCGACGTCAAGCTATCAAGTCTCGTTATGGACTACGTCCTCGATAGCCAGGCGGGTCCCCATCCGGAGTTTGATTCCTCTGGATCCTTTCGAGGATACAGGGTTATCAGATGCGCGGACTAGGCTTCTTTGGACTTCTTAGCTGGGCTGATTCCAGCTAAGGACGTTCCTCAGAGGCCACGTGCACGTATCTGGTTTTCCCCCATGGAGGACCCAGGCGAGAAACTTCTGAGATGCCTAAAGCTCGGCTGATGAGCCTATTTTTTTTTGCAAAATCTCTTGAGAAATTTAAAAGTAAATTTGAACCAAAATATAAAAAGGTTTTATTTGGGAAGAACATTCTTTAGAATTACATTTTTAAATCGCAAGATTGTATTCAAACTAAGAAAATGAAAAAACAACAACATTGCGCGTGGTTTTTATTATAAAAAAAAGAACAATTACCATGAAGTCTTCTTTAATACTTTATATCAGAGACATAACTATTATAAGAGAAAAGAATAAAATTCAATCAATAATCATTACATTAAGATAAATATTTCTCAAAATAAGTCTCAAAATAAAAGTCTTTGAAGACCTAAAAATATTTATCTCGCTGATAATTATTTTGAAAACACTTCTTAATAACTTATATAACTTAACTTCTATAATATAAGTCTTAAAATAATAGTTATCGATGACTTAAAACAATTTCTCACACATAATTATTATCAAAAGACTTTTATAATTCTTACGAAAATTTTGATGACTTTTTTTAAAACTCCACCATGAAATAATTATTATTCTGGGTATCTGCTTTATATTTTTATACATTTTTAATAAAAATAGTGCGAGCTACGTAAGTAAAAAAAAGTACTAAGCACTGATAATGGATTTTTATTTGAAATATTATTACATTGGTATAAATATGGGAAGGAAAATACTCCGATTTATTGTTTTAATATTATCAAAGTGGCAAGGCCGTTAATAATACTCACAATTTATGAAACTTCAAAAAATTTTATTATCCGTCAAAAGTTGTTAATTGAAACTACCTTCATGTTTGTATCATGGTTTATATCATTTAAATACTGCATGTGCCGGCATTTGAACCTGCGACACTCGGAATTATTGTCCACATCTCTAGCTACTCAAATTCATTATTTGTTCTGGAAATACATACAGTATTGGACATATCTATAGCACCCCCCTTTCAAAGCCATATTGTTTGCCATTTATGTTTAATTATTTGTTTTCTAAAAAATCAACAAAAATTTTTAGCCACTTGAAACTTGCACATTATTAGACTAAATTTATTGGGCTATAAAACAGTGTATTTAGAAAAAATTCTACCGCTTCTGAGAAAAAAGTTTGAAATTTGGGTGAAAATTTGTTGCACTTTTTTGCGGTCTTTTAAAAAGTTTTAAACTTGAGTTTATATGAGTTCTGTGAGAGAATGAACTGTCTTTAATTAATAATAGATCGGCGCTTACACATATGTTAGTGTTTGGCCGAGCTTCTCCTCCGATTTGTGGCGTGCGCCTTGGGAAGGGACCTACAGTTTTACGCCCACTCCGAACGACGATTGTATTTTTCATGGCAGAAATACGCTCGGAGGTTTGCCATTGTCTGCCGAGGGACGTCCGCTGTTGAGAAAAACCCTTTTTTCTATATTTTTGTTCGATGTTGCTTTGACCAGGGTTTGAACCCAGGCGAGGCGGAGTGGAAGCGCGCAGTGCTTACCATTACACCACAGCGGCCGATTGTATTTAATTGAATATTTTTTAAGAATAAATAAATAAACATGAGTGGCAAACAATATCACTTTGAAATGGGGGGTGCTATTGTATTGGTCAATACTGTATGTATGAAATGCGAAGCCAAATCATGCATTTCCCCATACAAATTCGCATTTCTCCATACAAATTCGCATTTCCAAATTGACTCATTTAAACAAACTTTCGAAGCAAAATGCGTTCCAATTGCTGTACTATTTTATTGAACACACTCAAAAACAAAAACTCCTGAAAGGTTGTTCGTTTTTTAAATTTGGAATTTTTAAAAATCAAAACAAACAATGAAATATCTGATGTTTGGGTATACAAATTGTTAATTTATAAATAAGTTTGCACATCTAGTCTTATAAAAGAATACTTTCTTTGTAACCAAAACGTGTTAAAAATATAAGGCATGCAGTGTTTACCTTCATTTTGTATCTGTTTCCCCTTTTGAATTGATGAGTCAAAGGAAATGCGAATCTAGCAGTGTAAACACCTTCAAATGACTGATTGCTACTCACTCATTTGCGGCCAAAGTAAACGTCAGGTGTTGTACGTAGTGACAGCTCGTTTCGACGGCTCCCTTAAGGCTCTGTTATGCATACTTGGCAGAGCTTCG